GGGGGTTGAGGGGGGAGAATGGAGGGGGGAGAATGGAGGGGGGTGTGGGGGGAGAATGGGGGGAGTGTGGGGAGAGAATAATGGGAGAATGGGAGGAGAATGCCGGAGTTGAGAATGGTGCACGGGGCGAAGCAAGCACGTTAGGTCAGTGAGAGGGCGAGGCACACACACAGGCGGCAAGAGAGTTGACTCTGCCGCCGTGTGTCAGCCAAGCACTGCTTCCCATCACTCAAGAACCGCGCACGCACAGGCACAGAGGCACAGAGGCACACAGGCACACAGGCACAGAGGCACACAGGCACACAGGCACACAGGCACACGGGCACAGAGGCACACAGGCACACAGGCACACAGGCACACGGGCACAGAGGCACACGGGCACCCACCAATGCTGAAGTAAAGGTAGAAGTTGCCCAGGAACGACGTTGGTGCTGCCTGCATGACCACGGCACGGGCACACATGGGGACAAGCACGCCGTGGGTGGGTAATGAGTGCCATGTGCATGCATGCATGATGTGAATAATGACGTGATGTGCACGCAATGCAATCCAGCTCTGCGCTCTGCTCTGCACACAAGCACATGCATAGGCATACCGCACTCGCATTCGCGATTGTACACATGCGCGGAATTAGAAGAAAAGGCGGGGGGTGGAGGGGTTGGGGGGGGAGATAGCACGGGGAGGAGGGAGCGGGGAGCGAAGCAGGCGGAAGGAAAGCTTCTAGGGTGGGGAGGAGGCGGGGAGGGGGAGTGCCTCTGTGTAATTAGTGAGGTGCTGTGAGGTGCTATGAGGTGCTGTGAGGTGCCTCCAAGCCAGACCAGACAGAGGATGTGACAAGCAAACACGTGGATGCACGGGATGCGTGTGCTTCCATGTGGGGGCTCACCTCGCCTGCGGTCTCTTGTGGGTGTATGGCGTATGGCAGGTGCATCTGAGTGGTGTCCATGTCAGGGGACGGCGTCACCTGTATGCTCCACCTGCTCGTGTATGTGTGCATGTGCATGTGCATGTGACAAGGCAGGGAAGGAGAGTGACAAGGTGATGGTCAGCAGAGGAAGGAACGGACGGGATGCGTGCAGGCGTGTGGATGTAGAGATGCATGGACGCATGGGATCATGCACGTGGCGCATGCACACGGGGGCAAGTACATGGGCCTATGCATGTGGGGCATGCACATGTGCGGGCATGCACATGTGGGGGCATGCACATGTGGGGGCATGCACATGCGGCACAAAAAATGACAGGAAACTTCTCGATCGCGTAATTGAGAGCGTTGGATCACAGCCAGTGGGGAGCAGGGGAAATCAGAGGAGAGGAGGTGTGGCGATGATGATGCTGCTGATGATGGGAAGCAGGCGGTGGTGCAGTGATGGGAAGCAGGCGGTGGTGCAGTGATGGGAAGCAGGCGGTGGTGCAGTGATGGGAAGCAGGCGGTGGTGCAGTGATGCTGGTCTCACCCGTCGAGCTTGCAGGGCTGTGCGGTGACCACCCCCAGCAGCATCTGCTCAAACAGTGCTATGCCTAGAAACGAAAACGATGGGCCCTGCGTGGCGTGGGGTGGCATTGGGTTGGATGGGATGGAATGGGATGGGGTGGGGTGGGGTGGGATGGGATGGGGTGGGGTGGGGTGGGATGGGATGGGATGGGATGGGAGGATGGCATGGGATCGCATGGCAGTATATATCAAGGGCTAGGCGGCACTGCAGCAGGCATGAAGGCACATGGAACGGAGGAAGAGAGCCATGCAACAACGGAGACTGGTGAAGGGACACGAGAGGAGGTCAGGTGAAGATTTTACGGGGTTTAGGGTTTGTGTAACATGTTTTAACTCATGCACACGTTTAGGGTATTTGCGTGCACACATGCGCTCCATCCACCCATGAGCACAGCTCATGTGCACGCACCTGCACATTCACAGGAACCACATGCACACGCACGCGTCCCCACACACACACGCACCCGCACGCACTCTCACGCACACACTCAGGCGCACATACCCATCCAAAGGTCCGCGAGAGGTCGTTGCCAGTGCCGAGCGGAATGACAGCAACGGGAGGCGGCGAGGGGAACTTCTCTAGCACGGACAGTAGCCACCCCACCGTGCCGTCGCCCCCTGCTGCCTGCACATGCATGCAACCGTCACCCCACACAACGGAATTCAAAAGAATGGAACGGAACCGAACGGAACGGAGAAAAGGGGTCAGTCAATGGCGGGGACAGCCAATGGCATAAGCGGATATGCGTGCGCGCACAGGGGACAGGGTGAAAGTTGCGCAGTCAGAGCAACACTTTATGCAGACGTCAGCATCGCACGATGGAGGTACGCGGGACGTCGCACATCGCTCGCTCATCGCTCGTACAGCGGCGCGTTTCACGCAGCACGAAGCAGCTCCTCGCTAATCGCTCACTTGCGCACGTCGCTCGCGTTACGCTGTCCTTCGCTCTTTGGTTGCGCTGGCCCAGCAGCACGCAGCAAGGCCGCGCGCGACCACGTTATTTGTTTTCGTTCTTTCCGAGTCGACGCAAAGGCCACTGCGCGCTGCCAGCGGATTCTATCACACATTTCAACCCCGCGCTCGAACAGCAATCGCCCCCAACCCCGGCTTCGCACCACCTTACACCGCGACACAACGCTACCACTCGCGACGACCCTTCTCATTCTCGCTCGCCCTATTCCGTTTCCCCCCCACACGCCATCGCTTTCCGCGGCACTCACCACGATCCGTAGTCTCCGGCGCGCTTTCGACGCCGCCTCGTCGCCCTCCCCCGCCAGTCGCTCGAGACAGCCGAAGATGGTTGTGAGGGCCACTTGCGGCTTGACCTTGCTCAGATCGTAAACCTGCGCGCACGCACAGCACGCGGCACGCGACACGAGCGCGGACGAGACATTCCGGTGGTGAAGTCGAGACGTTGTGTGAAGAGAGGGAGGGAGGGGGGGTTGGAGGTTGGGACGGGGGAGGGTGGGGGAGTGGGGAGAGGGAGAGAGAGTGGGAGGGAGGGAGAGGGGGATTGAAAGAAAAGACGGAGAAAGGAAGGACGGGAGAACGAGGGACGGCGACATGGAAGCCGGCGGAGAGATTGAAGGCATGAGCGGGAGAGAAAGAGTCATGAGAGAACGTATCTCTCAGGCAGTACAGAGTGTCGGGTGAGGAGAAAGAAACCTGGTGTCAAACCGCGAAAATGCCAAAAAAACATTGCAAAGAACGCGCAAACACGACGCGCACCTTCCAGTCATGCCCTAATCAGCACACCTGAAGCGCGCCGATCTCCGTAATCAACGCGTCGAATAGTTCCGGGCCGAGTCTGCCCCCGCTCTTAGAGTTAATAAACACGATCAGCGGCGCGTCAGGTTCAACGCCGTCTGCCGCCGCCACTTCACCATTAGGCCCGGCTTCCGGCACCTGCAGCTTGGCCTCCGTCACCGCGGCTCGGACCGCCGTGGCGACTGACTTGGGGAAGCGCAGGCTATCGACGGTGAGCTTGGATTGGAAAATCTGGTCCGCCACGCCTTTCGCCACGCGGATGCTACTGATTGCCGCTTTGGCAGGTTTCACCTCAGGCATTGCTATTGATCCGCCAACTGCGGAAGGAGTTTCTGGCTGCTCCGGGTCAGCCATTGGTGTGGTAGAGGACACGCGAGAGGGGGTTTCGATGGGTGATGTCGAACGCTTGAGATTGCCTCACAGTCCTAACCAGGATATATTGTGATCTAAAGCCGGGTTGTACTAACGCATCGCTGATGTGAGTTCTGGCTGCGGGAAAGCTGCTGCTATTGAACACAGTTGACGAAAGGTGGGCGCTTGTGTGCAGGAAAGAACCTGGGGACTATGCTTGCAAGGCTGGTGCTTTGATGTTGTAATTTGTAAAATCGAGATGTCAGAAAGAACCGGAGTCACGACTCACGATTCTCAAGGGTCTTCTGTACAGCTGTCTTGTCCATCAAACCAGCAGCCAATAGCATGTGGCGTCAACACATTGCCTGCGGGGGAACGCCGACCAGTTGTGACCGTGCATCGTCGATTTCGTTATAGTGGACGAAGATGTTAGAAAGGGGTGTCGCCAACGGGCAGATGGAACGTTTGGTGATGCGCAATGGAACCGTCGCATAACGGTCGCCTAATCGACTGTGTACAGTACAACCCTCCCACATCAGCTTTTCCCGTGTCAGTCAGCCGATCTGGCCCGCCGCCAAGTGTACTGTACAGTTCTTGGAGAAACAACGCCCTATGCCCATGCTGTTCCCGAAAAGCCGTGGTGGAGTGGAGAACGGTCAACTTTGACTATTGGTTGGGTGCAACGGAAAACGCGGCAAAATCAATAGTCCCACACGTGACTACAATGCACGCTCGATTACAAGAACATAAAGCTGCTCCAGACAGAAGACCACATCTGAGGAGGTTTTAATACACGTATTTGAACGAGAAAACCATGATGGATAGTTCTGTTAGCATTCGGCCAAACAAGCTCTTATATCGGGAGCCATTCTATTGGAAATCAAAGGTGGACATGACTAGCGGAGATGGGGTTTGTGAGCTGCTTGAATGTGGGTGATTCAAGTGTAGTGTTGGATGCACCCTTACGCATCATTTGGAATAGAGTATAAACCAGATTCAACTTCACACCAAAACCTATTCATGTTCCACTAATCCCTCAACAGTCACTCCACAGCAGTCATGCCGCTTTCCCTCGTTAATAGCACCCTGGCGCAGCCAGTCTGCGCCCTGATTCGGCGACAACCATGTGAACAACAGCTTGTTGGTTCAGCTAGAATCACACTCGCAGGCCCCGTTGCGCGCCGAGCGCTAGCGGTTCGCGCTTCTCCGTCAGCGCCAGGCCACGCGGCGCCGTCGGAACATGCGCCAACGGAGCCTGTGCCCGATGCTGTCCCGAGGGAGGAACAAGCTGCCAAGGAGGCCCGCGTTCGTGCGGAGGTTTCGCGCAGGATTCGGCAGCTCGGGCGGGAAGGAAATGCGTCGGCCGCTGTGGAGCTTTTCACTCAAATGCAGGTGAGGGGGATGGTTAGGTTCGCCCCGCCCCGCTACACAGGCACACCCTTGCAGCGTTACTTCTACGGGATTTCTCACGGAATAGGCACTGCTAGCACTCTTGACAGGCGCGTTCTCCCTTGGTCCATGCAATGTTTTGTCTTTCCGTGCCAAATGCCCTTTTCCAGGGACAAGAGGTGCCAACTGTGTTATCTCGAGCCCCGCTTCTCTTTTCCTACAAAAAGGATCGCTTCCAGCCACGATCATCGCTCGCCAAAGCTTTATGTCAATCTCCCGAACGCACCAATGCAAACCCTCTGATAACCCCTGTCCCCTTTCCGATTTGCTGAACCCTCGGCCCATCGTTTCTAACCTTTGAATAACTCCTCCTCTGTCTCTCCCACACACCTCCCCAACCCCCCAACTCCCCTTTTCCCCCACCTTTTCTATACCATCCCCCCTCCTTGTCTGCACCGTGTCTCCCCGTGTCAGGCGGACGGCATAGCCCCAGACGCCATGGCAGCGACAGCTCTCATCGACTGCTGCGTGCGCTGCGGTGAGCTGGCACGTGCTGAGCGCACCTTCTTCAACCTCTTCAGCAAAGCCCCAGCCAGCACCACCAGCAGTCCCTCCAGCAGCAGCAGCGACAGCGATGTTGGAAGAACAGCTAATCTGGTGCCGGACGCGGTGGCAGTGGGCGTGCTGCTGCGAGCATACGGGCGCAAGAGCCCACCGCAGTGGGCCAAGATTCAGCAGCTGCTGACGCGCATGGAGCTCGACTTTGGCCTGCAGCCGTCCACTGCGATTTTCAATGAGCTTATGGATATCTGTGCGAGGGACAATGCGGTGGACCGCGGTGTGCAGCTGTTGGATCGGATGGCCGAGGCAGGCGTTGAGCCAGATGCGTTCACGTTTGAGGCTGTGAAGCGCAGGCGAACGCTGCGGTCGCATTTCAAAAAGCTTTTCTATTAAGCAGGGTGGTTGGGGGATACGGTACATCATGTGTAGCTAGTAGGGCACCTGAAGTTGGAGAGGGGTTGGATAAGTGGGTTCGGCTGTTGAGGGTTGGGAACAAGGGCTTATAAGGGAGTGTCTTTTGTGAGAAGTTATAGATAATATATAACCTCATGTTCCTCACTGGCGTACTTGGCATCTCAGAGTGTGTTCCTATCCTCGTATCAAGATAACCTCGTATCAGGCTCGCACTGAAAATTCCCCTAAACCCAAAACCTCTTGCTAGTTTTACCAGGCAAAAACAGCATTCTTGATACGAGGTTTCCTGATATGAGGCCGTAGGAACACGTCCTCACTTTCACATGTTTTTTTTTTTTTTTTAACGCTGCTGAAGGTGTGTTGATACGTTTATACAATTTAAAAGCATGCTGCTTTAGTGTACCCGACAGAGCACTGGCGCCACCCTTTGATACCACCACGTGTGCAAGGTTGGGTAGTGGGAGTGAACTGGCAGGCAGGCCAATGAAAACAGACTGGCTCGTGGCAACCGCGCTTGGGTGGAGGGAAAGGGTGTGTGTGAAGCGAAGTTCAGGGACAGCGCGATAGTGTTTGGAGGGAGGTCGAATGGTCTGTGATTGCACCCTACAAGCCGGGATTCCCCGAGAAGTATCCAGTAATTTCAAGGAGTCGGGGTTCCTTACCACTCTCACTGCTAAGGGGCGATGGATCCGACATTCTGGTTCCCAAAGAAGGCCTGTATTTCGTGCTCTCTCGCAGCTATAAGGAATACTGTAAGGTGCTGTCGTTGCTGCAGGGTTGGGGCAACCTGAAACGACATTTTTGCCCCTGACTGACCACGACTGCCCGCATCGCGAACGCGACTTGTGATCAATTCCGAGTCGCATGTTTGGATGCATCAATCGTACACGCAGTCAGCTTCACGAATCAGAAGCAAGGATGGCATTGCTGCTCTGATTGCCTGACAAAGCCAAGTCATAGAGAGACAGACAAGCCATGTCCCAGCAGGACATGGTTTGCACTACCATGTTCCATATGAATAGCAAATCCAGTGGAGTTCGAACCACGATTCATTTGCTAATAAGTGTTTGAGTGCTTCCCCACTACGTGTTCTCTAGAGTGGCTACGTTCGCAAAGGCAGTCACAAGATCAACATCCTCTGCTTTAGCTATCGTTTTTTCCAACGGTCACCATAGAGCTTGAATCACCGCAGCGCACGGACCAGCTCTCCGTCAAGAACGGCGAACGGGGCGCCGCGAGTGCGGACGAAAACAAGACCTCCCAAACCTTCCTCGCATTTCCCACTACCCGGCCGAAAAATGGCCTGTCGCCGAGCGAGTACTCTCCCCTTCCCCCTCCTCCTCCTGCTCCTCCTCGCACGTCTTCCCCGCGGCATCAGCGTGGCGGCAAATCCACCCCCCTCTCCAGGCGCATCAGCGCCGGAGGCTAACACCGCCCCGGCACCGGCGGCGGCGGCACCAGTGGCTGTGAAGCTAGGCTTTCTGCTGCCCGTGCAAGAGCGCAACCTTGATATCCCTCTCAACCTCGCTCGCGAATGGTACGCTACGCTACGCTCTTTCGTTGATCAGTGTGAGCCATTTTCCTCCACACGTTGTCTTGTTCACTCTCGGCTGATCACTCCTCATGCCGCCATTCGTTTCGCTTCTACCACATTACCTTCTTCGCATGGCTCTCACCTGTCGCGCTATCCTGATTCAACATCTCTTTCCAATGCCTCGCGTCTCACCCACTGCCCACCTCCTTATCTCTCTATACCCATGCCTCCGTCGCTCCACCGCAGGGGATCGGCAGCGCAAGTAGCGCTGGACGTGCTCTCTACCCGCTACACGGGCTTCACCATAAAGCCCGTCTTCCAGGCCGTCGAATGCACCGCGGACAGCGCCGCAGTTGGCGCAGACGCGCTGGTGAAGCAGGGCGTGGCGGGCGTGGTGGGGCCCGCGTGCAGCGAGGCGGCTGTGGGCGCGGCGCCCGTGCTGGCCCGCGCGGGGATCCCGATGGTGTCCTTCGCCGCCACGGCTGACGCGCTGCGGAACCGCACCGCGTATCCGACTTTTTTCCGCACCGCGTGAGTGCTCTACTGAGGTTCTGGGATTTACAAGTCGGCCTCGTCTCGCTCAAGCTGCCATATCTTATCAGAAGTAGAAGAGTCACTGCTACTTCACGTTCCTCCATTATGCTCCGCCTCTGCATCATCCCCTGTAACTCTTCTCCCCCTCTTCCATGCCCCCCCGGGGCACAAAAGCACTCGCGTATCCGATGATGCGATAAGCACTCTTTCCGTTTCCCCTTACCCTTCCCCTTCTCCTTCCCAACCCCTTCCTCTCCCCTTACCCTTCCCCTACCTCGTCCCCCATCCCCTTCCCCCGTGCCGTTTGCAGCTTCGGCGATCGGCATCAGGCAGCAGCCATTCGCAGCGTGGTAAGCATTCGTCGTCGTCGTCATCGCTCCGTCATTGGCTCTCCGCCATCTCCCCTCCCCCATCTTCCGTCCGCCATCCTCCATCCGTCACCGTTCACATGCGTACCGTCCTCTTCCTCGGTTTCCCCTTCCTCTTCTCCCTCGCTCCTCCTTTCCATCCTTCATACGCCCGCTCCCTCCAACCCTTAATCCCACTCCCTCATTTCCTTTCCCTTCCAACCTATCCCTGTCCGCCCACCCTTACTGCACCCAACCTCCCCTTCCCTTCCCCCTCTTTCACCCCTCTGTACCGCCGCCGACCCACTCCTCACCGCTGTATTCCTCCGCAGGTGGACCAGCTGCAGTGGAAGCGCCTCCTCGTGTTCCACACCGCCGAGACGTACGGCGAAGCGCTCGCCTACGATGTGAGTGCGGGGCACTGCTGCGTTGCTGCATTGCCCTAGAACTACGGTGGCACGCGGCTGCCAGACGAGCGTGCATCATGTATTCGTCTCCCTCTGCGTTCCACGCTTTCCCACCTTTAGCCACTCGCGCAGAGGGATATTTGTCACCTGGTTTGAGACGTCTCAACACTCGCGCAGAGGGCTTGTCACCTCGCCCCTCCTTTCCCACCAATCCTCTCCCCTCTCCTCTCTAACCTCGCCCATCCCCCGTCTGCCGCTCCCAATTCGCTTCCCACCCTTCCCCCTCCTCCCCACTTCCCCCAGGTGGCGCAGGAGCCCCAGCTGAAGGTGCGCACGGTGCGAATCCCGCACCCGCCCCCCGCGGACTGCTCCGCGTACTTCCCCCCCGCGGCGGACGACTGGATGAAGGGGTCGGAGGACATGGGCGTGGTGCTCGCCGTGCTGCCCAGCACCGCCTCCTGCCTCTGGGCAGCCGCCAGCAAGCTCGTAAGTGCTTTCCCGTTTCTCATTGGCGGGTTTGGAAGCAGGCGGGGAAGGCGGGGCTAGCAGTGCGGGCAGTGCGGGAAGTGCGGACAGTCCTTCGTTGCGCTGCTACCGAGGTGCTGGTAGCTTTTCTATCCGCTCATGCCTCCTCTCCCCTGCTCGTCCGCGCACCGTGACCCCACCAACCAGAATCTGCTGGGGTACCCGTGGTGGTACCTGGGAACGGACGGCGTGGCAGCACTGGACCTAATGGATGCAGCGCCGCAGTCGGGGGAAGAGATGCTCGCCAACCACATGCTCAACGAGCTCGCGCTCGCGCCCTCAGGTAAGTCAATGCGCCCTCTGCTGCGCCCTCTGCTGCGCCCTCTGCTGCGCCGTCGGCTGCTCCCCAGCTGCGCCTCTGCGTTGTCACTTCTGTTAGGAATCTCCCATCCGCCGCTGTCCCCTGTCAGCCCCCTTTCAAACCACCATCGCATCATCCCCTCCACCACCATCCCTCCCTCCTCCTCTCCTCCAGGCGCCGACCCCTCAGGCGAGCAGCCATTCGCGCCGTTCAAGGCGTACTGGCAGCAGCAGTCGTACGCTGCATTCCCGGGCCTGCTCACCTTCGACGCGTCCCCTCGCTTCTCCTCCCCCCGGCCCTTCGTGCCACACCTCGTGGATGCCGTGTGGGCGTTCCACGAGGCCATCAACAAGACTGTTGGGGAACATGGTACTGGGATGGGGGACGGGGGATGGGGGACGGGGGATGGGGGACGGGGGACGGGGGACGGGGGATGGGGAAATGGAAGTAATCAACAGGGAAGCATTATCTATCTGCCGCTCGGGAAACTTACACACTGTGAGCCAGTGCAATGTAATCTCTTCACAAAGTGAGTCCCAATGAGCCAGTCACCCATTCTTTCCCATACAGCCCCCAGTCCCTCCCCCTTCCACTTCCCTCCTCTCCCTCTCACGTCGACTCCCCGCCTTCGCCCCTTCTTTACATCACCTTCCCTGCGTCCACCTGCCAGGCGCATCCCTGTCGGCCGCGCACCTGCTCGCCTGCTTCAACGACTCGCCGGCTGACTGCGTGTCCTTCCCGGGGGCCACGGGGCACGTGCACTTTGACTCTGACTCGGGCGAGCGCAGCAAGGTGCAGGCGTCGCCGCGCTACTCGCTCATGCAGTTTGCAGGGCTCCCATGGATGGTACGCCTCTCATGCTGCTGTTGTTGGCGCTGTCACTGCTATCGCTGCTGCTTCTGCTGTTGCTGTTGCTGCTACTGGCGATGTCGCTGCCGCTGCTGCTGGTGTTGTTGTGCATGCATGCTGCATGCTAACTCTCCCCTCTCTCACCTCCGTCTCACCTCCTTTCTCCACTCATCCCACCCCTCTCCCCTGGCCCCTCGCCAGCCCGTTGGGGAGTGGGTGGAGCAGCAGCAGCCGCGGCTTAACCTGACGCAGGAGACCCCGCTGCTGCGACCAGCAGACCCTGCTGCCACTGCTGGAGGAGACATGGACGCTACAGGAGAGAGCAGCAGCAACAGGAGCAGTAGCAGTGGAAGAGCTGATAGTGCTGCAGTTTCTGCTCCAGCACAGCAGTCAGCGGCCAACGAGGTAGGGTTACATGCAGGGGTGGCAGGTGGTGGTACAGGGGAGTAGGAAGCAGTGCGAGGAGGAGCTTACAACGGTAACAATCGTGGAACACGTTTCCGGGTTCCTGTGAGTGGGTGGATTTTCGAGGTGTGTGGAGGGATGGACTGGCTGTGTTGCCAATGTACGTCGAGCTAGCTTCATTATCCCACCTATGCTGCTTTGATTGCCCCACTTCTGTAAATTACTGCTTTCCTTGTGCAGGTCACTGACCTTACATCTTCCCTCCTTGCTCCTCTCCCAATGCACGTTCTCCCCTCTGGTTGCAGCCCTTCAGTGCCGCTCCCCTCAGCGAAAGTGGCAGCAGCAGTAGCAGCAGCGGCAATGGTGGCACCATAGCCATAGCGGTGGTATGCAGTGTGATGCTGGTGGCGCTGCTGGCAATCATTGGGGCCATGCTATGGAGCAAGAGGCAGTACTTGTTTGTGCACGAGGAGCCCAAGCACCAGATGGTAGCTGATGATGCAGATGTTGCTAGGGGGGGAGTGCACTTGCTCTAGGGTCTACTTGTCTTGGATTCAAGGAGAAACGCATGTTGGAGAGAAGATGATTTGTGGATTGCTGTAACTAAGGTGCTTGCGCAACCATGTATTGTATTGATTGATTCCAAAAGTTGTTTTATCAACGTAAATGTGCAACTATTCTGTGAAAAGCATTGTCACATCAATCACCTATGAGGGAAATACATTGCCGCATTACGCATGTTTGTAGAGTTGAATAATTTGTGCCTTGCACTGTACCACCACCAAAGACCAGGGACGTCCTTTTGTTGTTGTTGTTGTTGTTGTTGGTGGTGGTGGTGTAGTTGCTTCTGCTGTTGCTCTTGAGGTTGTTGCTGCTGCTGTTGTTGTTGTTGTTGTTGTTGTTGTTGGTGGTGGTGGTGTTGTTGTTGTTGTTGTTGTTGTTGTTGCTGTTGTTGTTGCTGTTGTTGCTGTCAGAATTATATTCTTATAACTGCATGTAGTTATAGCTGTAGTGTAGATATTAACTTTATAGGTGGTGCACCTCTTTGTTTGTTATATGTACCCTAGTGCGAAGTGAACATTCATTTCTCCTCTCATTCTCCTCTCCCTCCTTGGCAAAAACTTCCTCGATCCTCCTTGGGCCTAGGCTCCTAAGCCTAGGCCCTAGCTAAACCTAGTATCTAACTACGTTCTCAACAGTTGTTGCTGTTGTTGCTGTTGTTGTTGTTGCTGTTGCTGTTGCTGTTGCTGTTGCTGCTGTTGTTGCTGCTGTTGTTGTTGTTGCTTTTGTTGTTGTTGCTGTTGTTGCTGTTGTTGCTGTTGTTTTTGCTGTTGTTGTTGTTGTTGTTGTTGTTGTTGTTGTTGTTGTTGTTGTTGTTGTTGTTGTTGTTGTTGTTGTTGTTGTTGTTGTTGTTGTTGTTGTTGTTGTTGTTGTTGTTGTTGTTGTTGTTGTTGTTGTCGTCGTCGTCGTCGTTGTAACATGTACATGGCAACATATCCAGTTATCATGAGTCTATGAAAAAAAAATAGATTTCTTATAAATGCATGCTAGTGTAGCTACTGTGTAGTGTTGCTCTTGTTGTTGGTGATGCACCATCTTGCCCACCCTTGCTCCTACTAGTACCCTTCTTTCTAGTCAATCCACCTCTTTTGCCAAAACACTCTCTCAACGCTCACCATTCCTAGCTAAACCCTAGGCCACTAAGGTGTGAGTTATGCTACTATTTTGACATGGTTAGAGCCGGAAGTTCCCAAAGACATCCGTCATGATTTCCAATGGGCCCACCGTCGCGCTGCCCGTTATGCAGCCTGCCCTTCACGCTGCCCATCGCGCGCCTCGAGAGTGCATCGGTTTCTGCCCGGGGTTGTGGTTGTGTCTGGTTGTGGTTGTGGTTGTGCCTTCTTCTAACACGCCACTGTCCTCTTCTTGTTCTTCAATAATTGCAGGTCCGGTGTGGCCAAAGTTGGAGGTGTAGGCAGTTCAAACAGCGAGAGTTCGACAAAGACTATCTGGACCAAGTCGTTCTTTTATGGATGGGCCCATGTCGACGGTGATGAATATGTGGTGGTCTTCAGGAAAAGCGTTCGATCAGTGTCGCCGCTCTTCGACTGTGAGGTAAATTTGAGGACAAAGACTCCGTCTTAATTGGCCGCCTTTCTGATGCAAGTTTTCCATGTGAGGTAAAGTTGAGGATGAAGACACCGTCTTTATTGGCCGCCTTTCCAATGAAAGTTTTTTTCTATAAAACAAACCAAACTCTATTTTCTTGCTCTTTGCTCCTATCCAACCCCGCATTTCATGTGTTGTGATGCAGAGTGGAAATTGGAATGCAGGTAATTGACGACCATAACATTGCCTGATCGGATGGTGAAGTTTGTGTATGAGATTGTAGAAGAGATCTCCAATCTTGTAAATATGGAGTTTGTTGTCGTTTGCCACCGTTATTTCGCACAGGTTACCCAGTCATCTTTGGTTAACGATGAATGTTGTTGACCCAACCATGTGCCGTCTGCAAGAACTGATTAAGTACCACTTGTTGTGGTTTTCCCGGATGCGTTGGGTGATGCTGGCGATTTGCGGTGTTACAGAGCGGTTGAGATCGACTTGATACTAAAAGATGTCGTTCCGGCGAGTGAGAGTGAAGCCAGGTTGCGACTTAGGAGTGCTTGGAGGCAGATCCAAGTCTGGTGCGATTGTCGGTCTGTCATTCCAAAACCTGACGGTAGAATCGTTGTTTGGATCCGGCGTGATTGGTTCGATGGCCTGATTGTAGAAAGGTAGATGTTGTCATAGCAGCAGAAGAGTCATACAATTCATGATTGTGTTCTTCCTTTTATTATTGGCATAAATGCGTGGAGGAGCGCGTGACGTGCTTCCGATTGCGGTAGGCGAACTCGTCGTGATATCTTGAGGCGTGGCTGATGTTTGTGAAGGACTAAATGATTGTTGGTGCTGAAAAACGGTATCCGTTTCGTTGGAAGAATCACATGGTGCTGAAAAATGACCGCGACTCTTCCATGGTGTCAATGTTGGGCACATTGGGAGATTTCCCGCGGTCACATTGGTCAGTTTCGCTGACACCAGGAGGGATAGTTCTCCATGTTTTTTCTGAGTTGGTGTCATGACGCTACGCCATCTTGACACTTGATTGGGATACGTGTGAAAATGAGAACGAGAATGGCTGAACTATGAAAATGAAGTGAGTACAAATATGAAACCCTAATTGGTTGTACCCCCTATGGGATACCCCACTATAGCCTACACAACAGCATAAGCTATGATGTTCTGACACACCCCCATAGGCAAAGTGGGGGAGAACAAGGGGTCACAAGACCAGTCAAGCAAAGCAAAGCAAAGCAAGCTCAGGGTGGATCACAAAGTCACCACACAGTCCGAGCACAGGGTCAAGGCCACACGGCCAGTTCACATGCAAGAGTACACACATATATATAAAGCTAGACAAGCAAGAGCAGGTATATATATATGCGAGAGTACAAGCAAGGTCAAGAGGAGAGCAAGTGAGGCAAGACGGGCACAAGACCCAGCTGAGTGCAGAAGCGCTGATGATCACAAGGCGGAAGTGCCTTGGTGAAGACATCAGCAGTGTTGGCCTCAGAGGCCACGTACGCAAGCCGCAACTGTCCACGTTGCTGTAGCTCACGAGCAAGGAAGTAGCGGAGAGCAATGTGCTTTGTTCTGTGCTCCAGTCGCTGCTCTCGACACAAGGCCAGCATGGCCTTGTTGTCTACGTACAGGACTGGAGGAGAACGAGGCGGCTCTCCAAGGTCGGTCAGCAGGTAGGTGAGCCAGCGAAGCTCCTGTGCAGCCATGGCCCCGGCGTAAATCTCAGCCTCACAACTCGAGCCAAGAACAGAAGACGAGCGAGTAGCCCGCCACGAAACAGAGCCGGAACCAAGGCTGAAGGTGTAACCCTGTGACGACCGCTGCGTAGCCTGGTCGTCAGCCCAAGAAGCGTCCGCGAGCCCAGTGAGGACCACTGGACTCCGCCCTCCAAGCACTAGCCCCATGCCTGACGTACTGCACAAGTAGCGCAACACCCTCTTCGCTGCAGCCATGTGCTCTGGTCTGTGTCTCCCAGGAGCAACATAGCGTGCAAGAATGCTAAGAGGGTATGCAAGGTCAGGTCGTGTGCAGGTCATCAGGTACATGAGGCAGCCAACAAGCTCTGGGTACGGGCCACTCGACTCTTCGGACTCATCCGAAGGCAGAGCTGAGAGCGAGTGGCGAGTAGACAGAGGAGTGGCCTGAGGCGAGGAGTACGTGAAGCCGAAGCGCTGAAGGACCTGCTGCACCATGTGTGACTGAGTCAGGGTAATGGTGCGGCGTGCTCTGTCCCGGGTGATCTGCAAGCCAAGGTAGCTGCGCAGTTCACCCAGGTCTGTGCACGTGTGTCTCTTCTGCAGCTCGGACTTCACGTAGGCGATTCCAGCAGTGTCAGCTGTGGCAAAGACCAAGTCGTCCACGTACACGAGGATGTAGAACGACGGCAGAGAGGTGTCGGTGCGTAGAAACAGCGACGGGTCGGCAGTAGAAGGAGCAAACCCAAGAGCCGCAAGCGTAGTCCTCAGTGTGTCGTGCCACTCACGTGGCGCCTGGCGGAGACCGTAGACTGGACGTCGGAGACTCCACTGGGTACCAGGAGGGAAAGACCCAGTGAAGCCAGGTGGGCGACGCAGCCAGATCTCCTCGTGCAGGCTGCCCTGCAAGAAAGCTGTGCTGAAGTCAAGAGAGTGCAGCTCGTAGTCACGGTGAGCAGCAACGTGCAGCAGTACCCGAAGAGTGGTCATCTTCGGGGTGGGGGAGAAGGTCTGAAAGTAGTCAACTCCCTGCCGCTGACTGAAGCCACGAGCCACGTAACGCGCCTTGAAGACAGGCGGAGAACCCGGCGGCCGCTTCACCCTGAAGATCCACATGCCACTGACGATGTTCGCCCCAGGAGGGGGGACAGCGTCAACGTAGGTGCCTGTGGACTTCCAGGAAGCCATCTCTGCATCCATAGCTGCCTGCCACTGAGAGGAGTAGGGACCCTCTATCGCCTCCGCGTAAGAGCGCGGAGTCGGGATGTCAAGTGCATCCGGGTCTCCCTCAGGGGTAAGCAGTACGGACACGAGATGAGGTGAGGCAGCTGCCAGACACTGGAACTCCTCCTGCCTGTCCTCAAGGACGTCCGTGCCAAGGGCACACTCACCCCCGACGGACGGAGGACAGACAGACTCAGACTCAGCGACAAGACTAGCAGCGTAGTCTAAGCGACAGCGAGCAGCAAAGTCGACGAGCTCAGTAACGAGAGCAGACGCAGCAGTAGACTCGAAAGAAGGGTCAGTGACAACAGTGACAAGGAGACGCGTGACAGTAGGACTGGCAGCACGAAGAGAGTCCGACTCCGGGTCGGCAAGAGCAGGAAGAGAGGACTCAGGAGGAGAAGGCAAAGGGGCACGCAGAGGAGCAGTCGACGGACGCAGAGACATCCGGTGCGTGCCAGGGACAGGAGGAGGACGCTGACGCGAACCGCGAC